TCTTGGCCTCTTGTCACCCTGAGAATAAGAAGGACTCCTCAGAGAGGCTGAAATTAATGAGGAGTATGCAACAGCATAGCTCTGCTTTTCATCCCACTCCACAGTGCGGAAGGACATTGTTTACTTCTTCTTCTTCGAGCTCCACAGGTGGACAAATTATTCTACAACCATAAAAAAGAGAGGGGGAAAAAAAAAACGCATCTCTATCTCTGTCACATAATAATCAGGAAATCTTGAGATCAGCGGAGTGAATCGGATGGGTGCAGAGCATCAGCTGCACTCCCAGGTGTCAATGTACTTCTTCGTCAATTGGGCTTTTCTCAGGGTTGGTTTGCTGCTTGGACGAGGATGCGTGTTTGTGATATTACTGGTACCAGTCGAAGGCACCTGAGCCTCATAATGCCCCCACCTCCTCCCAAACCTTCATAAAACCTAGCCAAAAAACATGCTAGGCAAGTGCCCATTGAGCAGGCATCAGACCAGTGGGGTGCAGTCAAACCTGCCATCTGTATATTCTCATTTTCAGACACACACACACACACACACACACACACACACACACTCCATGATGTGAGGAGGGGGAAACAAAGAGCCAGCAGAGGGGTGTTAAACAAATGGATACACACAACAATGCACAGCCCTTGTCAGCCAACCAGAGCATGAATTTCCTTACAAACATGTCTGTTGTCTTCTATCAGGCACACGAATACACACATAAAACCTGAACGCGTACTCACAGAGGAGCTCACAAAACCCAAAGCACAGACCCAATCAAGTGGGCTCCCAATCAACCCTGGGATCAGAGCGACACTCTGTCTGGCTGCTGTGTTTAAATCAATAAGCCCCCCACTGTCTCCCCTGCAGATCTACTTGTGTGTGTGATAGAAGGAGAGAGAGAGATAGAGGGACCTCAGCCTGTTGCTTGGGATGGCTGCATTATTAACTCCTAGCACACTGGCTGAGGCGCTGCCTGCTGTCAATGCCGACTACGTTATTAGCTTAGAGACTAGCTTACCGCTGCTTGGGGACCTGATGGAGCTGCTGGTTAAAAAAAAAAAAAAAAAAAACCTGCTGCAAATCTCTCCATCCATAGCAATCAAGCATCTGGTGTCTTTCAGTGCTGGTACTTAATACTATTATGGGTGTTTTGATAATTCTTTTTTTTTTTTTAATTCTGCTCCAAGCAGCATAGCAAGCAGAGCATCACTGTAATTGCATCAGCAGCCTCATCAGTTAGTTTATCTTGACAGTAGCATTGTGAGTCCTGTGACCAGTCAAAGCCTCTCACCCTCATGGTGAATGGAGTTCTAGACCTGCACACTCATGGATCATCGGGAGGAAGATACTTGAGCTTAATTGACAGACTGACTGGCAGACAGACACCGTGGGCTTTCTGTGCTGCTTCCCTAAGGAGCATCAGATCAGGCTTACCAGCTGTGTCAGGAGGCTTGGCCTGTCTTCTTTTTTCGTGTCTGTCTTTTTCTCATTAGAGTTATAGTCTTGGTGGTGATTCTTTCAGCTGCATGCATGTTAAATATCTTAAGCATGTATCAACAGTCCGTTGTTTTATGTTAACCAACAGAAGATTTTTTTATTTTTTTATTTTGCATGTAATATGCAAGCTATGGTGATGCACAAGTGTTAATAGTGACATGGTAGAGTCACTATGTGTGTGTGTGTGTGCGTGTGTGTAAGCATACAAGCACCAGTCAGCTCCCTTCACACAAATAATGCCTCAGTGGTACCCACTCCTACCTCACCTCTTTTCTCCCCTCTCTGGCTTCCCAAAAGAAGGTTTCAGTCATACATAATTAATATACTGCTCTCTCTATTGACTGGCTGCAATTTTTAGCTCCCCATCTCCGGTCGATTCACCCTACTCTTTATCCGTCAGTCTGGTTCTTCTTTTCCTGAATTGTTTGAGTTAGACAGGGCTTCCTGGAATGCCATGACTCTTACACTGCATGTTTTAAAGGGCCATCAGGACAGGGTGAAGGGCAATGCCCACAGCTCACTCACTAATGCTCACTCAGTCATTTATTCTGATGCTCTATTTCAACACGTTTAGCACTGTTTGACGTTCAGTTATAGAAGAGTAATGAGTTACAATCAAACTCTCTGCTGGCACCCAGAAGAGGATGGGTTCCTTTTAGAGTTTCTTGCTCCTTTAAAGCTTTCTTCCTTATGTCGTGAGAGGGAGATTTTACGTGACACCATCACCTCTGGTTTGCTCGTTAAGCATTTAGATCTACATCCAGATTTATATAAAGCTGCTTTGTAACAAAGTCTATTGTTAAAAGTACTATCCAAATAAAGCTGAATTGAATTGAATTAGTGCCGCCATAAACTCGCCAATAAACGTCCTCTCCTAGAGGCTTCAGCTTGAGAACATTACATATACAGCAGCCCTGTGTGACTCAGTGTCTCGTGATTTCTACTGGTCTTCAGTGATTGGAGTAAATTATTCTTATAATAATGGCTTTTGAACTGTTCTAGTGATGAACTACTGTAAACTGCTTTCAGATGGACAGCATCATGACCGATAACCCTTATTTGCTTTCAGTGAAAGCCAGAATATAAAAAGGGGAGATTATCTTTCTACACTAATACAGCAAAAATCTTTAAACATTAAAAGTCCCTCTGGCTGAAAGGTAGTAATAAGAAAAGCCCACAGACAGCTATCATGGGTTTTAGATAACAGGCTTTGCACTTCACCACAACCCTACTAAGCTCTTACTACTGGTTTCTATGCTAAATGTTCTTAGTTGGATAAAGCTTCATTTTGTTGGGTCCTGCAGTGAGGTGAAATATTCATGTTATGCATATTATTTCAGGAAAGAAAAAAAAAAACAATGCTACAAAGCAGACTGTTCTGCACCTTGGCATGAAGAACTGCTTTGCTTACAAACATGAAAAGTAGCCATTCATCATAGCGCTGATGGAGAGCTATAGTATGACTGAGAACAATAGGCCCAGAAATTGAGCTCCACAATGAGGCTCTTTCATGTGACTTTATAGTGAAATTGATTCACTAGAGCAGGCTGCGTGATGCAGCTCTTTCCTGCGAGTCATTTATCAATGCAAGACACGTGAATGTGAGATAAAGGCTCTAGTAATGGAGCATAACAATGAGGTTTATTTGAATGACCTGGTATTGTCAGTGCTATGACCCAAGCCTAGGAGCCCTATGATGCAGCTCTGCCGTGAGCCCAATCCTGCTTTCTCTTTCTGACATCACACTGAGCCACTGAAGGATACACTCATTCAGTAAACTACTAGAAGCACTAAAATGCTGTATTTTGTTTGTAAATGTTTGTAATGCATGCTGATATCAGACACTTTGCTGGCTATTTATGGCATAAATAGGCTTCCTAGTGCTGGAGTGTCAGAATGTTTCAGCTGAGCTAAGTCTGTGCATTCAGGCCAAATCCCATAAACAAACAGTGCTAATGGGACAGAAACAGCTCACCAAGGGGGTCCAGACACAGAAGCACACACAGATCGGCATAGATGAATGCAGAAGCATTCAGCGCAGTCACATTTAGCAATTTGCAGTGCCAAAATATTAGAACCCCTCATGATACATTTTGATCTAAATTCAAATTTATATCTTTATATCTATATATAATTTGGCCCTTTTCAAAGTCACTCAGATCCTTACGCTTGCCCATTTATCCTGCTTCGAACACATCAACTTGGCATATTGGTGCATGTATGTATGTATGTGTGTGTGTATATATATACATATATATACATATATACAGTTACAGTTTTAAGGTCCGGAAGTATTTGGACAATGACAGAGTTTTTGTGATTTTGCCTTTATACACCACCACAATGGATTTGAAATAAAACAGTCAAGATGTGATCAAAGTGTAGACTTTCAGCTTTATTTTAAGAGGTTCCACAAAAATATGGCATTTACCATTTAGGAATTACAGCCATTTTAAGCAAAGTACCTCCATTTTCAGGGGCTCCAAGGTATTTGGACAATTAGAATAGAACTATATGCTACTCACCTGATTTATGATGGAAGCTTAAATTTTGTCTTCAGCAGTGCCTTTAATGGACACATTGTGCTGAGTGCAACTTAGTGCCACACCACAGTAATGTTGGCGTTACAGGAAAATTACACAGTTTCATTGAACATAACAGCAGTGAACAGAAAGATGGCTGCTTTTGAATCCTCTATGGAGTTAAAAAGCCTGGATTCGTTTTTTCAGTTCCAGGAATGCTGACTGTTTTCCTCTGTACACATTTTTTCACTGAGATTCCAAACCTGAAGAAGAATTAAACCACTGCAGGACTGTGACCATTAACAAAAGTGAAGCAAACTCTTTAAGACATTTGTGTGGTAGTCTGGGGGGGAAATGTTGTAGTTGTTGTGGCTGAATTCTGGCAAACAGCCATAAAAGACAAAATAATCATGTTTTGGCCAAAATAGGGGATTTCTACCTATAGCATACTTTGAAACCTCAACTTAAAGAACCCATCAATATATTTCACCAAAACAATGTGGAAATATTTTTTTCTTTACATTTTAAATCTTGCCTTGGCTTCTGTAATGTTCCTGCCAGTTTAACAAATGCAGTGGTTAAAACACAGTCAGGCTGTCTAAAGATATCTAAAACATTGCAACCCAAGTGTGTTTTCCGCACACAATGCCATATCGCAATGGACATAATCCTAATCAGATCAGTTTGTAATCAGATACTGGCTTTCAAAATGCCCACAATGCTCCTACGCCACAGTCGGAATGAAATCTTTTTTTTTCTGAGGGTACCTAGGTTTTGTAATGCTGGTAATGTGGTTGAGATTTAAGATACATTCACAAGAGAAACATATTTCAGTTCACAAATGTCTGCAGCTTTCTATATATATATATATATATATATTTACACCATTTGGCAGATGCCCTTATCCAGAGCAACTTACATTTATTTCATTTTTCATACAACTGAGGGTTAAGGGCCTTGCTCAAGGGCCCAACAGTAGCAGCTTGGTGGTGCTGGGGATTGAAGTCATGACCTTCTGATCAGTAGACCAACAGCTTAACCACTGACCTACCCCTACCCACAATCATATTCGAGATTGCTTTTGCTTTGTTGTGTAAATATAATTTTAACATTAATGCATCTTTTAATACCAGATGTTCAGCCTGACAGCAGGAGCATTTATAAAATTCCCCAGCCACTTATTCACAGGCCACTTATGTAAAAACAAAGCATTGCGAAGAAAAGAATTTCACGGTGCTGTAATGTATATGTGACAAACAAAGGCTTCTTCGTTGCAAAAATGTTTTGCCATTCATGATGCAGCATTGATATGAACAGTATGAAACTTTACATTTCTTACTAGGTAAAAAGAAATGTTTTAGGAAAGTCATTTGTAAATTTGATTAATAAGCAGTTTCAGTATGGCAAAGGTTAACTGAAGAGTACTGGCTCTGTAAAGAAATGCCTTCTCTTGGGCAGGAGCTTAACAGATACCTAGAACAACAAACCAGGAGGTAAAATTGGCCCTGGTTAATCTGGTGGAAATGGGCGTAAATAGTATGAGTTATCAAGAAAGTTCCCATGTTTCTTAAAAAAAGGTTCCTGTCATGGAAATACCCTTATTATTTAATGAAAAAAGAAAACCCCACCTTGGTAATCATGAATTTGCCCAACTATTCTTTCATCCATCCTCTCTAATGAAGTAATGAAAAAAGATATCATCTTGCTCACCTTGCTTCTGTTGGAACCTCCACTTTTATGCCTTTCTCTCTCTCTCTCTCTCTCTCTCTCTCTCTCACGCTCTCTCTCTCTCTCTCTCTCTCTCTCTCTCGCTCTCTCTCTCTTGCTCTCTCTTACACACTTTCTCTCATTTGCCTGCAGCATTCTGGAGCCCTGCTGTGAGACCTCCTCTTGCAATCAAGCATCATTTGATTGAGTTTTCATCATGCCCGCACACACTCACACTCACACACACACACACACACACAAACACATACATACAAACACACAAACACGCACACAAGCACATGCTTGTTCTGGGAAAACTGAAATGAAGGAGACTATGTGAGAGAAAACAGTTAGGAAGTTTGTGTATGGTATTTGCTTGGGTATGTGTGCAGGCCTAAGGCTCTGCGTGTGTGTGTGTGTGTGTGTGTGTGTGTGTGTGTGTGTGTGTGTGTGTTTCTGCTCTTTCTCATCTGGGGAGTTAAAAGGCCAGATTAGCCTGCATCCCTCCGTGCTGTATGTCTGCCACGGTGGCACACAGAGGCAGAAGGAGAACGGGGAAGGGGTCATTCACATGCCGACCTCAGCTTAGCCGAGCATGGATTTATCCCAGGTGGATTTGTGTGTGCGTGCATGTGTGTGTGTGTGTGTGTGTGGACATGTATTTGGAATACATTATTTCATAAGTGAATTGTGCATGATATGATGCATGCATTATGCACACCCCATAGTTATTCCCTGCAGGTTTGTCAGTTTAACAGATTTTTCCAGGAGTAGCTCTGGGCCCATGTGGCAGTGGGATTATTGCAGTGTGTATGTGTGTGTGTGTGTGTGTGTGTGTGTGTGTGTGTGTGTGTGTATGGTGGGGTTGGGGGGGGGGGGTATTAGGAGCAATAGTTTGTGTGTTTGAGAGGAGATGATCGATAACTCCCATTGCTGTTAATGTAAGACTCACCGCTTCTCATTAAAAATGAATGTGTGTGTGTGTGTGTGTGTGCATGAGGTGGTGGTCTATCCCAGAGGTGCCAGCTGTTTATCATTCCACCAGAAGAGAGTGGGAGGGGTCAGAGGCTGGGCAGGTTGCTATAGTAACTGAGGCTCTCATTGCATGTGGTTTTATAGTGGTGAGTTCCAGTGCCACTGTACATCAGAAAACGTTGTCAGGAGCTGAGCTTGTGCTTAAGCCAGACATTGCTCCTAATTATTTGCCATGATTCTTCTATATCTTTCTCCATTTCCCTTTCCATTTCTTTACATCCTTTTATTTTTTGCTTGACACACTCTATATTGTGCCACATATTTTGTTCTAAGATTGTTCTATTTACACCTATGGAAAAAAAATCCTGCTCTTTCCCTCTCTCCTTCTCCCTCTCCCTCCCACCATCTCTCTCTCTCTTTCTCTCTCTTTAATGGTCCTCCATTCCTCTTTTCTCAGCCAGGGGGTCTAGGAGTTAATGTGAACATTTTTTTCCCTCGTGTCTATAAGTAGCTCCCAGCACTTACAGCATGCTTCATTTCTCATCTGTCTAGCAGTTCACGTCCTCTCTGCATGTCCTTATGCCGGCTGATCTCAGATCAGTTTAGCTCTGCTTTATTCCATTAAGCTCTGATTTCCGAGCTTAGCTCTGTCTCATCCGAATATCTTCCTGCCTCTCGATGTCAGATAACCTTAACTCCTCTTCATTCTCATATAGCTGTGCATACTTTTTTAAGATAACTATAGCCCATACAATATATTGATGCCTGCTGATCCCAGATCAGTTTAATGCTACGTACTTCAGTTTAGCTTTTCCTCATCTTAGCTCATAATAGTCTCAGGTCACTTTAGTCCTGTGCCATTCTCATTTACTGTATGAATGTCTCCTCATTCCCAATCAGTTTAGCTCTTCTTCATTTTCATATGCTTGTATCTACAGTTCTGAGATCAGTTTAGCTCTGTCGTATTTGAATTTTTATGGCACCTGCTCTCAGATCAGCTTAACTCTTCATCATCGTTATGCCTTCAGAGCTCTGATCATTTAAACTCTGCTTTATTTTCATATCGCTATATTCCTGATCTCAGATCTGCTAAATCTCTCATGCACCAGAGTGGAACCACCTGTGCTTTCTTAAAGGCTGGCTTATACTTCTATTTGCATATGTATTTGCATCACGTGGTTTATGGGTAAGCGTGGCACACGGACGCACAGTGACGGACACACGTGCAGCCATCCACATTCCTAAGAGCACGTTGTGTGTATCTATGGTGCTGTGTGTCAGTCAGTCTTCAGGCAGACGCCGACTGGTTGTGGATACAGAAGGTTAAACTAGATTTATTAAACCAAGTTTATTAAAATTGTGATCGCTTTTTTCGAAGCAGTTTAATTCAGGAGCAACCATTACATAAAACAGACAGCCACTGTTCCACCTTATTTGCTGTGACCATGGACCATAGCCACATGCAAGCACTTGAAGCATGGCAACTTGACCGGTCTACAGAAGAAAAAGGGGAGAAGCAACATTGGAGAGCTGTGAATGAATTCTAAAACAATTCCCTGTTTACTGAGAAGAAACAAATTTGTCTTAAACAAATGTTTAATATTATGTGCTAAATATTACATTTTCAATTACTGAACAAACAAAATGAAAAACGATGAAATGAATGAATGAGGGGAGTCAATCATGGTTGCACGGACCATCTCACTCAGAACCTGGTAGTGCCGTATTACACATAGAGTGCGTTTATCAAGACCGAATTTCATCCATGGATGGTTTGTGAGTTGCTATCCACAGAACAGAACCAACAAGTAATTATTTAGCTGGCTGTTAATGTTGCTTGTTTGTGTTTCCCTCTGGGAGGACATACTACACTCTTGGTACAGTAATATGGAATTTTATACTTCGTAGCAGCTATTGTTGGTCAGGATTTAAGCTACTGCAGTAAACCAATAACTCAAAATGCAGATGAGCTATCATTCACAAACATCTGCTAGAAAAATGTAGCTCCTGCGGTCGACTACGGTAGTGTAAGAATTTAATAAATATACTTATCTTTACGAAATTCTTATCAACTCATGAGTGAGAATCATGATCTCAGTTCAAGTCCTATTTCATCAAGAATCATAATCGTATATAAACCAGGCCTAACTGGTTAAACTTTGCCTTGTCCTCACAATATTAAACCCCCTTATCTGGAGCCAGTTTAGCTAAGCCTCATTGTCTAACACTGCTGTCTCCTGGTCTCAGATCAGCTTAACTTCACCGTGCACTCAAATCTTTATTGTATCTCATTTATGTTCAGTTTAGCTCTACCTCATCTTCATGTTCTTATGCCTTGGTGGCCTTGTGATCTCAGGTCGCCGTCCTCATACCTTTACGCGTCTTCATATTGGATGAGAATCTCACATCAACGTAGCTATTTGACTCACTAGGTGTCGATCAGTATTTAGGGTGACAGAGGGATCATCCTTTATTAGATATTCCAACACAACAGACAAAGCTCCTACTTTCTGCTTTAGAATACTGCTTTAAAATGAGCATGAATGTATCAGAACAATATTGTCAGTAAGAGTTTAACTAAAGTTAACAGTAATAATGGAGACAAATGAAGTGAGCGTGTTTATATTTAACACTGATGTAATTGTTCAGATGCTTAATTGAAAAGTAATATTAACAAATTGTACTTTGAAAAAAAAAAAGAAATGTATTTTTTTGGCAAATTCAGACGGTATACAGTAAGTGTGTGTGCATAGAATGATTATACATATTAGAAACATTTACTCACACACACACACACACACACACACACACACATGCAGCCTGCTCACAGTAGGAGAACAGGCTTCATTGTGTTAGCTTGCTGGGTTGAGTGACTGTGGCGTGTGGTCAATGTCAGTGTGGACAACACACTGGCTAACAGCTGCTGCAGTTTGCCCCAAACTCCTTTCTTCTCATTTACAACCCCCACTTCTCCCTCACACACACACACTGCATACACAAATGTCCAGCTCACTACACACACACACACACACACACACACCTGCTAAAGTATTATCATCATACTTGGCAGCTGTCTCTCAGCCATTACTTTTTTATCAGCTTCTCACATATCCATACATCTGGCTCAGTGAGAGTTAGCCTGAACTAATATTCCTCCCCGGTTAGCGTGCTGAGAAACGCAGCCTTGCTTATCAGCGGCGTCCATTCACATTGCACGCGAGGCACAGTCTCAAAGACTACACCAGAAGCCTAGGCTATGACAGAGCGTCATCTGGCAGCGGGCCAGTTTGTCTTATGTTATTGCAGTGCGAGGATGGTGTCGGGAGCCGCTGAGAGCCGCTGGCCGCTCTGCTTTGTTAGTTTTGGCCCCTGGTGT